GGACCTTGGGAGTAGTGGAAAGCAATTTGGGAAATGTTCTCATGTGATTTGAAGCTCTAAAATCTTTCTGTACATATTAATACATTTTCAAAAGGAAATACCCTAAATTTAATATATACGTATGTTATACTAATTCAGTACAGACTATTTCAAATCCAATACATTTGTATTTTGAATTCTACTTCTGTGGAGATGAATCAAAGAAAATATATAAGTTTTCTGGTTCTGAGGTTTTACAGCTACAGGTTAACTGGGGAGACTGTATCTCTTGTGACTATTTTTCAATTATGTAAGTAGTCACAATATGAAAATATACCAGCACAAAAGTCTGTGTTTGTGTGGAAGAAGTAACCTTTTCTCCTAAATATAACGGAGATCCTTCAGTCTACTTCTTTCACTGTTCTTCCTGCAGGCTATTTAATTTCCGGCAGTTTTTACTGATAAAATTTTAAAGTACCTGGACCAACTAATAAAAGATGAGCTGCTAGACATTGGCCTTGTATTTAATCTGTCTACAGCAATGTTCCATTCATACAGGATCTAACTATGTGCCAGTAATTGTAGCTGCAATTAGCCACACAGTGTAGGTTCAACATTAACAGTAATTTGATGAAGTCTACTTTGTAAACTAGCACTATCATCTGCTCCTTGAATCTTTTACACCAAGTCGAATGTGTTTATGCTGTTTTTTGTTCAGTGCTTTGTGAATGATCTTGTTAATTTGCTATGTATTTTGTGAGAGCCACACTAAGATATCTTCGGACAAAACTTGGCATAGTTATTGGGTTTAAGGATTTAGGCATATAAACAGAATCCAGATGTCTCTATGTTTAGTATTTTTCAAAGGCAAACTCCGGGGTGAGCTTTAATATTTTCTCTCAGTTATATCATTGTCCTTTGCAAAGAGGCAGTATAAACAAAACAAAGGGAGAGTGATTTCTTACCACCACCAAGCTATCTGTGTGTATTTTGCTCTAGCTTGATGTTTCAGGAAAAGTAATACCACAGTGCTGTCTGTGTTTAATATGATCATAAGTATGATTTCTAGCTCACATACCAAGCAATACCTTTGTTAACTTTCACTAAATTACAATTTCATGCCTTTATTAAGGTTATTAGATATTTAAAATAACCACATTTAGAAAGGAAGCTGTGATTGATTTTTGTTCTTTATTATATAGAACTGCCTTTGACTTCAAAGACTTATCTTAGTTGAGAACAGAGGACAGAACAGAAACCTGTGCAGTGATTCATGAGAGTAGATTGAAGTAAATGATTAGTTCATGTGCCTCTAGTCTCCAGTCATGGCATAAATCCTTAGGGAAGTTGTTTAATGTCAGACTGTATGCCTGCCTATGTCAAGTCACATATAGGCTAGCATATATTACAAATTAAGAAATCTGGAGAATGAACAAAAATTCCTTTACACCGTTGTTCATTTTTTACAGATGTCACATAGACTTGAAGATATAGGAGGAAAGCATAATATTGCTCTCCTTTAACCTTGAATAAAAGCTACACTTGCATATGTGTAAACACAAAGCCCATTCACATATGGCTAAACACCTTCTTGGAACAGGAGAAAAACTTATTTGGTTGTAGGCTAAGACCTATCTGTAACTTCTTAAGTTCACAAACTAGTTTATTCTTACCTGGAAAATTTTAAGGTCTGTTGATTTTTAAAATAATGAGGAAGGCAATGAATATATAGCAAGCTTTAAATCAGTGGATTTTATAACAGTCATCCTCTCCCTGGAATAATAAAACGTAACATGTATATGTGCTGTTTCTTTTGCATTATATGATACAAGTTGAAGAATCTTCTCTTAGGGAGTTAATATCACAAGGTGAAATACAATTTCTTTTTTTTCATCATTCTTTACTGAAGTTACCTCGGAATACCAAACATATAAAAGCATTCAGTTTGCCACGATCTAACTGTTAAGCAGGTCACAAACAAAGAGAAGGAAGAATGTTCTCAATTAAGATATAGGAATTAGCAGTAATACATTGAAAATAAGACAGCCCAATAAATGTGAATCCTTCTTTGATAAGTAACGAGGTCACACTCCAACAAGTCTCATTGTCAGAAACACTGTTAGCAGAGACAGAGAACCCTGTACCAGGTGTGCATGCCTGTCCTCCTTCTGAGGCTCTCTAGAGCAGGTTGCCTGTGACCCCTCTGATAACACTGTATTTTCTGATGGAGACCCTAAGAGTACAACCTTAGAAAGGAAACTGGGGCCACACTCATAATCCCAGCACTTTGGGAGGCTGAGGTAGGAGGATTGCTTGAGCCCAGGAGTTCGAGACCACCTAGGCAACATAGCAAGCACACGTCTCTACAAAAAAAATGAAAATTAAAAAATTAGCTGGGCATAGCGGCATGCACTTGTCCTGGCTACTCAGGGGGCTGAAGCGGAAGGACCACTTGAGTCCAGGAGGTTGAGACTGCAGTAGGCCATAATCCTGCCACTGCACTATATCAAAGGCAACAGAGTGAGACCCAGACTCAAAAAAAAAAAAAAAAGGAAACTGTGCCAGGATACACCTACATGAAAAGTCATCACCAATGCCCATTGCTTCTCTGCTGAGGCCAATGTAATGCTAAGGAATTTCTACAGCACCCCCCTCATCAACTCTTTTATAAAAAAGATTTTGACACTTTCAGAATTTGTAAAAGTGTGCTATGCTTGGTTGACATCTAGGTATGATCACTTGTATTATAATTAGTATCTCTATGTTCAGAGAGAATCATTTCTACAGCGGAGAATGGTAGAAAGAAACAAATCTCAAATGTGTGTGGCAAGGTATTCAATGTAAATCACTTTAGGGGAAAATACTATGCAAAAAATAAAGGTAACTCATACATTAAACTAGAAATTTTTTTAGGAAACAAACAAACAAACAAAAAGCAGAATAACCAGAATAGGTTGTAATGGCTACTGAGAAGCAGCTGTGTGTTTCTCCCCCCTCACACTTTGTCTACTATCTTGCTTAGTGTGGTTCATTTGGTACAAGTGATGACCAATATTGATATATTAACTAAAGACTATAATTGCTATTAGGGTTTACTTTGTGTTGTACATTTCATGGGTTTTCACAAATGCATAATGCCACGTATTCATTAGTAGACTGTCACACAGGATATTTTTCCTGTCCTACAAATCCCCTGGATTCCACCCATACGTCTTGCCCAGTAATGTGCCTTGCCCAGTAATGTGAAGGGCTGACACCTCCCTGGCTCATGTGCCCTGGACCTGCAAGTCTCTTCCTCTGCCCTTCATGTTGATGCCTGTTCATCCTCCAGTTCCCAGCTCCAGCTTCCTTCTTCAGGGAACCCCCTGCATGCCCTCTGCACCCACATTCCACACCTGATGAGGACTCTGATCTATATCCTTTCTTATTTCTGTTTTTGCCTTCCATACCCACATCACAGTTTTAATGTGTGTAGTTGTGTGAATAACTGTTTCTGACACTGGCATGGAAATTCATGAATGAGTAGGTTATGGCTAGATGTAGAAAGAGCTATTTGAAATCTAATTCCTTGGTCCAGTTTCCACTGCTTCAGCTTGTTATCCATATCATAATGCATTGCTTTTAACCCACCTTTCTCTGCAGATCCAGCCAGCTGCTCAGTATATATCTTCACATGTTGCCTATCTTCTCTCCTGATGATGGATAGCACATTCAAAATGTGGTTTATGTTTTCTTTAAAAATTCCTTCATATTTCATTATGTTTAGGTCATTTTAATTGAATTTATAACCTTCTGAGTGAATGTTCAAATGAAATATAAAATATATCATAGGAATATGTGTAGGATTTTATAAGTAGTAAGAATCTTAATGAACCAGTGCTAAATTTCAAGGTCTGATATGTAATCTAGAGAATTGTTTTCCTAGTAAAAGCAATCCTTTGATTAAAGATAAAGTGAGGCTACTCCTACACTGAGGCCTTATATGTAGCAGAATACTGTTCTTACTACAACATAGTATGCAAAATGGGATAAAAGTAAAATAATTATAAAAGGAAACCTAGATACTATTCTGGCAACATATCATATTAAATATCTATAAAATGCTATTTTATTAAAATAAAGCATATCCTTTGGGTGTATTTATATAGTTATATTTATATTTATTATGAAAAGACCTTTTAAATTCTGTTATTGAATGCATTCATATATTTTCCCATTAGGACTTGAGGTATCTTTCTGTAAAGACTATATCCCCTCAGAACAATGAATAGAAATACAGGATCATTACTTTGGGGAAGAACAGGGATTATCCATGAAGTCTATTTAAATAGGAGACACTATTACCTTGATTGAGCATTACATTTAACTTTAACCTTTTTGTAAACTGAAAAATTGAAAACGTGGTAAATTATATGAGTTTCCATGAGCAGAACAGAATCAGCATACTACTTCTTCAGGGAGGGTACTATGTTTGTTGGTAGGTACTTATCAGTGAGCATCTCCTGTGGTGGAAGTGTATTTAGGAAACAGGGTAAACACTAGTAGGATTGAGAGTGACTTCTGAAATTTAGAAAAACAATTATCAGATAAGCAGAGATCTTACATAGGAAGCAGTGTTTTATCTACGTACAAACAAGTGATTGAAGAAGACCACATAATTCTGTATCACTTACTATACTTCCTTAGCATTTGGTGTCAGCTTGATCTTTGGAATTGATGGATATAGGTGGGAATCCTTGTTATCTATGTGATCGTGTGTTAATCTCCTCAAGCTTCAGTTTTTTCATATGGAAAACTAATAATTAACAATAAATGACTTTGTAAAATTGTTCATAGGATTAAGTCAGGTGAAAGTTCCTAGGATTATTCAGCACATCATAAAATTTTTGTTAGAATTAAGTATGATAAAGCATGTGAAATTCCTAGCATGATACCTGGCACAAACTGCCTGGTCCTCAATGCAAAAGAATGTCCCTTCTTTTCTCTCCCCTTTCTTAATGATCTTTTCTTCTTTACTTCAGGGAAAGCACAAACTGCATGTAGACACTGGGATGGAGGGCGATTGGTGTGGCCTTATTCCTGTTGGACAGCCTTGCCATCAGGTTACAACTACAGGTCTGAAGTGGAACCTCAGTAAGTAAAACCTTTCTATAAAAGAAGGTTTGCTTTTTTTTTTGTTTCTTTTACTGTGTTTATTTATTTATTTTCTTTCTTTCTTTTTAATGTCTTTTTGCTCTATACTTAGGAGTGAAATTGCTGGGTCATATACTCTATGTTTAACCTATCCAGGAACTACCAGACTGTTTCTTAAAGTGTGTGCAGCATTTTACATTCCCATCAGTAATATAAGAGTGTTCCAGTTTCTCTACATTTTTACCAACATTTGCTATGATCTCTTTTTGCTTATTGCTATCCTAGAGGGTATGAAGGTGGTATCTCATTGTGATTTTGATGTGCATTTCCCTGATGACTAATGATGCAAAGTATCTTTTCTTTTGCTTATGGAACATTTATATATTTTTCTTGGAAAAATATCTCTTCAGGACTTTTGTTCATAGGGTTATTCTTATTACATTAATTTGTAAGAGTCCATTATATATTCTAGTTCTTTATCAGATATGTGATATGCAAATAATTTATCACAGTCCTTGGCTTATATTTTCATTTTCTGAACTTTAATTATCTAAATTAATTAACTTTGATAAAGTCCATTTTTTATTTTATGGATTATACTTTTGGTTTTATATTTAAGAACTCTTTGCCCCACCATCTTTATGATTTTGTGAACTTGAAAAATCTACTTTACTTTTCTAGTGAAGTAGCAAGTTATTTTCACAGTCAAATCTCTGAAATAGCATAAGATTGGGTGCTCTTATTAAATGCTAAAATTTTTTTCAAAAATTATGAACTGTATTAGATCCCAGTAATACTAAAAGAGTCTTATTTGAAAAAAACAAAAGTGACATAAATGTTCATGACATAAATGTTGATTCCAAAAGAAACCATAAAGCATTATAAAATGAATGAACTCTAGTCTTTCTAAGAAGAGCAGTAATTTAATCAAAGAGCTCTGACTGAATGTCAAAGGGATCCCCTGATTAACCAATACCTCTAAGGTTGAAATGGTAAATATAGAACATTGTGATTCTTTCCTAACATGTAAAACTCCTAGATTCCTATGAGGAAATACATCTTTTTCCAAGAAATAAGTATTTTGAAATAAAAAGATTTTTTAAACAACCTTTTTATGAGCCACTGTAGAAACAATCAGGCATAATGAGATATTTGAAACAAATGTCTAGAGAGCTCATCAGAATTTGAAAGGATGGTGAGAACAGATCTCCTCCAGTGTACAGAAATATGTGACAGGCTTTGAAGCTGTTTAGCTGAAACTGACATGCACTCCCATTAGAAGTTTTTTTGAAAACATTCCAGCCCAAAATAACTGCTTTAATTTTTAGAGTTCTCATTATTTCCAAGGACACTCAATCTAGCCAGTGGTGAACTTCCTCCTGGATCTACTACTAGTGACCACACTTTTCGGGGCTGGCACCAAGACACAAGGAGCACTGAGTAGCATGAAGAGGAGGATTGGTCATGTCAGATATCCATCCAGATATCCAGCTTCCTTTACTTTACAGTAATAAGAGTCATATTTAGATAGGAATAGTCAGGGCTGTTAAGAATGTCCTTTGATCCCCTATTTCCCACAGTAATATTTGCATCTTAATTCTATATAATAAGGATTTCTCTGGGAATGGGACCTTTGACATGGTAAGGGCAGGCTCTTAACCTTCCTGAGATAACCTTTTCATCCTACCTAAGTTCAGTATACAAATATTTATTTAGATAGTTACAGATAGCTTTAACTTTTAAAATAATTATTTTTTCTACAAGTCCATAAAAACAAATAAAAATCAACTTCATGGTATATGCAAAGCAATAAAGTTGAAACAAAGCATTTATTCATGAAAAAAGTATTAAATCATGGAGTCTTCTAACTGATGGGTAATATTGCCTTATTAAAAATAAAAATAAATTTGAATGACGTCTGTTGACTTGAAAAATGAGTAGATTTCATTCATAGAGAGGGTCCCTTCTTTACTCAGTATCATTATCTGCAAAAACAGATCCCTGAGGTAAGTGTTACTTGTCAGTCGTGGCTACAAAGTCACAGAACAAAGCTGGGATTGGAGAAGGAGAAAGGATATGCAGTAATTTTGTCAAGGGATACTCACTTCTTGGGTCAAGGAGAGTCCTTGAGTCCTTAAGTAAAATTGTCAGACTCGTCCTTAGGTGGCCTTGTGGCTTGACCTTTTGTAGTCTACATCTACTCTTAAGATTCCAGAAGTTTGAAAAGTTATCTGATTTGTCTATTATCAATTTGCAATATGTCACATCACGTTCTGACTTTTAAAAGAAGGGTGAATGATACCTATGTACTCATCATACAGGAGTTAAACTTTTCAAATATTCTTGAAGATCCCTGTATTTATAGCAATATGCTATGAACATTATTTGACTTATGCCTTGTATACTAGTTCTCTAGGAAATATAGACTTGGGAGTAAAATACTTGCATCATAGATAAGCACATCTTCACCTTTACAAGATATTCCATATTGCTCTGCATGGTGATTGTACCGGTGTGCACTCAGCCCAAAAGTACATAAAATTTCTTCTGCTCCACATCCTCACCAATTCTTGGTATTGTCACACTTTTACTTAATCCCTTTTAGTAGTTTGATGAGTGTAAATGATATTTCTCTGTGTTCTATGCTGCTGAGAGTGAGCATCTTTTAGTAGTTATTACCCATGTTGGTTTCTTCTGTGGATTGCTACTTTCTTTTGCCTATTTTTTCACTGGGCTATTAATTCTTCAAAGTTCTTGAGAGTCTTTTCCCTGACTATACTTTGCTTTTGCAGTGTGTCTATGGTGTTTTTATATGAACAGTGAGTTAAATGCAGTCAAAATTCATTAAATTTATAATTTTATGACTTAAATAATCTTTTTCTTTCCTATAGTCATAAAGATATTCTCATTTCAGTTTAAGTATCATTTTTATGTCTTTTATCTGAAATCGATTTTTGTGTTTAAGATAGGGATCCATTTTTTAAATTGATAACTATTTGCCCTAACATGATTTATTAACCTTTCTCCAGTGATTTGCAGTATACTACAAGTGTTCATATGCATGGGTATATTTCATGGATCTCTCTTCTGTTCTGGCTTACATTCTTCATCCTGTACTAAAGCCATACTGCCTTAATTACAATAGCTTTATAATAAATGTTGAAATGTGGTAAGTTAAGTCTTCCAATCTTGTTCTTCAAAATTGTCATGGCTATTTCTGACTTTTTTGCTCTTCTTAAATTTTAGAATTAACCTGACAAATGTCTCACACAGAAATCCATCATACTTTTTATTGGAATTACCTTTTATTTATAGATTTGAGGAGAACAGAAATATTGGGGATGAATTGTCTACATGTAATGAAGTTTTCCCATTTATAAACTTAATTTATTTCTGTTTGCTTAGAACTTTTACATTCCTTTCAATAATTTTATAATTGTCTCCATAAACATCTTGTGCATCTTTTATAAAATTTATTTCGTATTTTGTGTTCCTACTATATATTACACCTTTTTAAAATTATATCTTCTAGCCAGATGCAGTGGTTCATGCCTGTAATCCCAGCACTTTGGGAAGTGGAGGCAAGAGGATTGCCTGAGCCCAGGGGTTCGAGACCAGCCTGCGCAACTTGGCAAGACCTTGTCTCTACAATAAATAGAAAAGTTAGCTGGGTGTGGTAGTGCACCCTATCATTCCAGCTACTTGGAAGACTGAGGTGGAAGGATCATCTGAGCCCATCAATTCCCCCCCCGCCTCGAGTTCATTGATGGTATTTAGACATGTAATTGATACTGGCATATTATATTAAGATATTGCTGAAAACTTATTATTTCTAAAAATGTGGCTATAAATTCATTTGGTTTTCTAGAGACTATATTTCTGTTAGTAATCCAAGTTTTCTTCTTTCTGCAGTCTGTAACAAATAGGCTTGTTTTCAGTTATGAATGACAGAAACAGTAGCTTTAAAAAAGCCTTTTTTAGCCGGGCTCGGTGGCTCAGCCTGTAATCCCGCACCTTTGGGAGGCTGAGGTGAGTGGACTGCCTGAGCCCGCAGGTTTGAGACCCGCCTGGGCAGGCGAGACCTCATCTCTACAATAAATCCAAAAATTAGCCGGGCATGGTAGCGCGCGCCTGTAATTCTGGCTACTTGGAAGGCTGAGGAGGAAGGATCGCTGGAGCCCAGCAGGTTGAGGCTGCGGTGGCTGGGAACGGCCACTGCACTCCAGTCTGAGCGACAGAGTGAGACTCCAACTCAAAAAAAAAAAAAGCCTTTTTTGTTTGTTAGTTTCCTTATGTGATAAAATTCAGAGGTAAAGAGCTATAGGCAAGGTTTCTCGGATTTCCTCCACCTTTGCCTTACAATCTTAAGTTGTCTGTTGCAACTGTAGCCATCCTGTTCCCCCTTGAGATTCAGAATGGAGGAAAGTAGGAAGGGGCAGGGCCAAAGGAATATAAGGTACCAGAGGTTCCCAGTGTTCCCTGAAATCCTTCCTGCATCTCTTCTTTTGCCTCAGTGGCTAGAACTGTATCAAATAGTCACCCTAGCTGCAAAATGGAACATGTAATTTTTTATCTGTATATGTTTTCACCCCAAATAAAATCAATGTTCTGTCGATAAGAATAAAATGACTAATCACAGAATGCCTTTGCTTCACCCACTATCTCGAATAGTTTTGCTATGTATATTATAAACATTTATTTTTAACATTGTTTCAGGCATAGTCTTAAGGATTTTCATTTTTTTCTGTTGAAAAATCCCACAGTCATGTGTTGATAATGCCTTTAGCACTGTTTTTGTTTTTCTTTTATAATCTATAATTTTACTACAATACTCTTAAGTGTGCCCTTTCTTTTATTCTAGTTGCTTTCCATTCGATCTGCTAAGTGTAGTTTATCTGAAACTTAGAATTTTTCTGAAAATTCTTAGTCATGTCTAATATTTCCTCCCCTCCATGTTAGTACACATATTCTAACTCTTCATACATTTTCTTTGTTTTTTC